GTACACTGGGGCTCTCATTCTTTTCCTTCTTGCCCGGTTGTCCACACTTAACCACTGGATGCAGAGCGGCAATCGGCGTTTAGGAAATAAGGAAAGTCCCCCAGACTATCCCAACGAATACAGGTATACGCAGCACTATGCAGTACAGCGAGGTACGCCATTCTTGAGTACAGCTGCGGTAGCGGGCTTGTTCGAACGAACAAGTTCATCCCATCCTTGCAATCCCAGCTGCATGGGCAGACGCCAAGGGTCCCGCCAACAGGAGCTTCAGAAATGGAGGGTGAAAAGCGCTAGCGACACCCAATAAGTACCTAGTACAGACAGACGCAGCACAGTATATTAGTTAGGAGATCATGGAAGATTATACATCGGTCTCATTTTTTTACGGAACGGCCAAGTCTTATAAAGTGGAGGGCGTTTGATTCGGTAACCTCGATATGCAAGACCAAATGCGAGCAAAGCAGTCAAGCACTACACTACTGGATGTCGAAAGAACGAACCTTTCGAGGATTGCAATGGGTCGGTTATGCCATGAAACCAACCACCCGCCCGTAACCCCGGAGCAGCTGCCGCCTCAAGAGAAGGCATCATCTTCGTGAAAGAAGCAAGGATTTAGGCCACAGTCAAAGTGCGGACGTGATTTCGTAGATGGTTGTCCATTGAGCCAATTGATGGAATTCACGTCTAAGGCTTGGCAGTACATAGTGAAGAAAGCCGATAGTCATTGTGTGTCCGATTGTGTCAGAGACTACCAGGTCCAACCAAGTTGTGCTGAAGCAGTGACATAAAGTATATGGAAGTCTTGAAAGTCAAGAACTGAAGAGCCACAGACTTCCCCACCAAGCCGAGGAATCAGCAATTTCGACAAAGCGGATTGGTCTTGAGCGGATGTGTAGAAAGAGGCGCTCTAGTTCTACCACCATAGTGTAGAGCTGCCTTCTAGAAAACCACGTCGTTTTCCATCTCGGTGCCCAGTTCTGGCCTTTGAACCACAAGCGCCATGCTCTGCCATGCGGGCCAATCGTACTCTTGCGTTCAATTTCTGACTAAAACCAATTCTCAACCATGATAAATGGGAATAAATGACCGAACAATGAATGCATTGTCGAGGTATCTTCTATGTCCTATGCAGGAGACATTTCGGCCGGAGCATTTTCCTAGTCCGTGACCGAGTAATGTTAGCACGTATGCAAAGACATCTATCTTCATCGTGAGGGTGAAATAATAACGTATGAGACTTGTCTTGCTCCTCTCATCGCCAAGAGGCTTTTGGAATTACCAAGACCGCCCAGACGTCTGCTGCAATATCAGGCCCACGTCGGCTCTTGAATCGGCCGTCATGGCGGCTGGATGTGTCATATCAATCGCACAACAGCCAAAACAAACAAGCCGTACTCGTCTGGGCCAGAAACGCATCTCAGACCCATTGCGCAAGGGGTGTGACAGGCGATTCGAACCCAGACGAGTAGTGCTCAAGCAATGGAGGGGGGAAAAAAAGACGAGACAAGGCCAGGCTTGAGTCTTTCGCGACTAGAAAGGCAACTGGAGTGTCTCTGTGGACACAAATTTCCGTCCGCCGCATTGCGTTACTTGGGCGTCGCTTCCATTTGTCTCCTCCTGTATTCAGGTGTTGATTTGCCTGTGTGCAGTACCTACCTGTCTCGCTCTTGCCGGCGGCACAGTTAAGGAACGTGAGATACTACCTAGCCAAAAGAGAACCTTCACGGCGGTCGAAGCTGGGCTGAGGCTATCCTCGAATCGGCATGCAACAAGTTTTATCGAAAGTCGAAATCAGTGATCCATCAAGTGATCAATCATCACTTGCCCGCCATCACCACGAGAGCTGCCACAAAGGGCGACCTGCTGCCGACTTCCGTTCCATGCGGGGTTTCTATTCCCCCACACTCTAGGGCTTATCCATCCACGAATCAAATGGCGCACCACAATCACCGATCCCCCGACCTCCCAGTCTCGAGAACCCATTCGACGGGACCCAGGGGCATTCAACCCCACAAGACCCCCATCCCAGCACCAGTGGACACCACCACCAGCGCACCACCGAGAGAAAAGGAGAAATCTCCATCGCATCACTTCGTTCAGTTGGATGGAGGTGCGGGAATTGCAGAGCAGTGCGCACTTGGCATAGACTGTCACTGTGTACTCCATGAGGTACTAGTATTGCACGTGCGATGATAATTGGATGAGGCCAAACCGGCACGTCCAGAGCTCCAGAAGGAAAGAAGAGGGAGGGTTGCTGATCCAGCAGAGTGGTTCCTGAGGTGGTTTTTGAAAACTGATAAGGCGCGGGAGAGAGCCCTAGGCGTCTAGTGCGGCGAGGTGTGTCGGTATAGCCTTTTTCCTGCGTGTGATCCCTGCCAAGCCCCTCGACAGCGCAAACTGCGTCATCGCTGCCGTACTCGCTCATCAATGGGGCGGGGTCTCCACGATTTCTTGCATTTCCCGCTCTTGTCGACGGGCAGCTCGTCTCTGTTCAGCAGGCTTGCAGAGTGCTACGGTTCCGTTGGAGCATCATGATCGCATAAGGGTCTTAGCTGGTTGATATATGTATACTGTACCCGCGCGTGGGGGGAAATCAGGAACTCCCTTTGGCTCCAGGGACACCATTGCATCATCTCCGAAACTGGACCACAAAAAGAGCCGAAAACCCATTGTTGATCATCTCACCTTGCTTCCCTCATTCAGGGTTGGCACATGATGAGGACGATGGAGTTTTCCAGATACCTGCAACAACCGCGAGTGCACGGCTACAAGGGCCATTCCCACGCCGGGGTTGACACTTGACACTAGTGTTGGTAGGACAAAGCACAATGGGATCTATCGAGCCAAGGGGTTTCTTCAAGACGTCCCGGGGAAGTGGGTGGGGAGGATGATCCAAACTGTCAGATCGAAGTTTCTACACTACACCACAACCGCCGTATACGCGTATACCCGGCCCTATATGGGTAGGTCCACCGACATCAATGGGTTGGCCAGCTGCCCAGCCGTGAGGATCGAGTTCAGCCCCCCATTTCGCGTAGAACAAGTTTGGTATCATGACGACTGTGGTCACGGCGCCTGTGCGTGCCTACCATTGCGTTGTGGATGCCTTCCACGGGTGGTATGTCGAGACCGGTTACATCTCGTGGTTGATGTTACATTTGCTCCGTCAACACACGATGTGCTACCCTCTGTCTTCCGAGGACAGTCTCGCTGCCACTTCCCCCTGGGTCGTCTTGTGCCTATTACTTTGAACCGGATGATCGCACTGGGCCGGAGACAAAAACGATTCTGTTAGGGGTTTTCGGTGTCGGATTTTTACAAGGCGAGGCTTCTTGACCTGCTTGATCAGCCTCGGCCGCCTCCTGACTTACGCAGTACGAACTATGTATGGCATTGTCTCCCCTCGTTCTTCTTCATCGGCAGAAAGCTGAGCTGTAACCTCAACAGCTCCCTGGCCAGTCTCAGCACGGCCAAGCAATGAAGCACAGCCAAGAACTTGCCAGTCATTTCTCTAATCCAGGTAACTTCTGGACGATGGACAATTCCTTGGCACCAGTCAATCTGGTCGATTTCACTCAGCTGTGTTGCCTTCACACACAATACGCAGTAAGGAACCTGGTGACGATCTGGATGGCTTGTCTTGGTAATGTAAGGTACTGAGGCAGAATCCCGTCGCCAAGAGCTGGGCCTGCTTCATCTGAACGGCTGGTTATGGCTGTCGGCCTCCTTCGTGTCACGACACCTCTACCTGTAAGACGCGGCAGTTGACTGTTCTGGTTCAGCGACCGATCATCCCTTTCGGCCCTTTCCTCGCCATCTCGTTCCATGGGTCACGAGCCCACGGGGATAGTCCAAACTTCTTTACCTACTACTCCTCCGAGAGGAGGCTCTTATCCACACAAGCTCTCTAGGGCATGGTATACTTTCTAAGCCAAGGTCACATTGGATAAACAATTTGGTTGAACTGCAAGATATCATCGTCTCCAAGTGTCTCGCGCTGCCCCCACATACAGCAAAACGATCGAGATATGTGATGGGTTAAAAGAATGGCTTATCGCTTACCACCAGCTTTTCTGCAGCAATCCCGAAGTTGTCATTACTCTCAGTGATATACTCACCAAGTCCATTGAATCAAATCATTGGGAGAGAACCAGACAAATTCACACCTCGATTGGACCCCCTTCACAGTCCTTGTGGTCCATGTTTAAAGCAATGGAAGTTCATCGTCCATCAAGTAGCCGCCAGACTTACAAAAAATGGCTCAACATATCGACCTCTCGTCTAGACAATGCGCCCCTTGGTTCGTTATGATGTGAAAATCATGACCCAATGAACGGTCGAATCCATGCGGTTCGTAGAGACATAGTCCTTAAAGGGCAACAACGAATTGGTGTGACAGTGCCAGCACTCTCTAGCAAACTTTGTGGCATGTGTTAAAAGCTTGCAAGCATTGACATTTCTGCTAATCCACAACATCCCACCTAGCCTTCACCGAGCCAGTTTCCGACCACTTGTCACTGCGATGCCTCTGCACTCCATCATCGTTGTACGGCATCAATCATCGCCTCCTCAGACCCGTCATTGTAGTGAGCTATCAACATATGGCTCAGTCCAGGCTACTTATGGCTTTTTCAACTGAATTCAGGATTATCGATGCTAGATTAAGCTAATCGCCGTCCCGGTATCGATGTCAACTGGTCCTATGAGAATTGGTGACCAATTCCGATCAGTCACCAGGCAACGGGATCCAGCCATGCCGTGGTTGTCACTGATACAGTAGGTAGTGTCCCACGACATGAACTGAATGCAAGTGTGAAACTAGTTGCCAACCACAAGTTGCCGGCCTGTTACACTAAATGTCAGGCTCTCGGTTGGCCGCTTCCTACCTACCCTCCGCAACTCACACAACCCGACCATTTTGGGAGGCCCGCAAGCTTCAGTTCTTGAAGGAATATGCGAGTTCCTTCAACCATGCCAATGCAAGAAAGCCCATCCGACACATGTTCCACCTTCCAGTCAGAAGTAGGCTGTGCAAGAGGCGGTGTGTGGATGGCTACCGCCGCTCTGCCTATCCTGAACGACAGTCTGTCAGCTTTCCGAAACGCGAGGTGCCCATCAAGTGGCTACCTGTTGATATCAAACACAAAGGCAGTACAATCTGTACTTTTATGGACCATCTCGTCCACTTCCGCATGCTTTCAATGCCGACCTCCATCGTTATATTACTTCAGTAACATGTTTCCCGAACTCAAATCAAGGACACACTCATCTGCATTGGCATACCGAAATATGGGAACAGTAAGCTCTTCAAAGAGGCTTGCATTGAGAGGGCAACAAGTGGCTAAGAGTTGCGTGGTTCAACAGCCGTGGCACGCAGTACCGCAGGCGAAGTCATCCCTCGGAACTTCCACATCCAGGGCTCATAACCCTGCTGTCGACCTCCCCGGATTGCTCAACATGACAGCTTGATTTACAATACTCAAGTATCACATTTTCAACCTGACTTGACTGACAGGACGACTGGTGTATGAAGGAGTCATGATACTAAGATATGTGAACAGCATTGTATTAGTTACAGGTGGGGAGGTCGACAGTTCCACCACAGCATCGAACTTCACCCACATGGCAGTATTATGGCACTATCAGTCTTGCTTGACAACCTCAAACCCTTCTTTTTGAGCTTGTGGTCTTATGGGTTTAACGCGGGAGAAAGAGAAATCAAAAGCCTCAGACGGCCATGGCCCAGGGCGGAGACGTAAGCATAACCAACCAACTGGATAATGTAAGAAAGAGTTTACTTCCCTCCTCTTTCGGCTACCGCTCCCGGCGGTCAGGTAGGATGTAGGTACCGTGTTTGTATAATCTGTACTTAAGTACTATGTTAATACTCGCAGCTTGCAAACACAGGGTCACTGGTCTCGGCTCGGCTGTCAGGCTTCAGGAACACACTTTGAACCCCGGTCGGATCATGGTATGGAGCCATGCCCCCTTGGTCTTGGTGAAGCGGATTGGAAAGTCCCGTTGCGTTCTTGCAGTGGCATTCCCGGTCAGACTGGTTCAACCACGCTTTGCGCTTGGTGAGGAAACACGCGAGGTCAATTCTAGCCTTGGCAAGCTTGGCTGTGACGAACATGATCAAAGTTCCAACATTTTGTCTGATATGTCAAGCCTCTCCAAAACAGAAGATTTCAAGCGCTTCGAGCAAGCTCAAACTTCAAGTTGTTGCGTCTACACTACACAACCCATTGTGGTGGGCACAAAGCAAGATGTGAGGGGGACGTGAAGGAAACTCTTCCCAAAGCTTCATTGTTCAAGGCTGTCGCCTACCGCGTGCTTGAGAGTTCTCAGTTACCAAAGAGAGTTCCATCAGTTGCTGCGATGGAAGTTGCTAGTCCAGACAATGTTTGCGATAAAGGAGGCCATCGTCAATGTGCACAGACATTGCCATGTGGGTTTAGGAACAAAGCCGCACGGATAAGGGAGCCTCTTCAGAAACCTCGGTGAACATCCGTTGAAAGTCGGGCTCGTGGCACTGACAGTCCAGTGGAAGTACGCAACGTTATAGATCTCCAATCAACCTCAAATCAACACCAGTCATTCATAATTCTGGGTTCCAGCCCAGGAAAGGGATTGACGGTCGAAGAATGACCGAAGAAACGTTGCTTTCTCTTGGCTCAGAAACCATGTTACCATGTTGCCATGCTCCCATGACCGCCAAAGTGAAGCAGCTCCGATCAACCTTTTGCACGTGTATGCTTCCATGGTGGTGGCGAGGCAGATATAAGGCAAGACGGATCAATTGGATGATGGATGGGACCAAATCAGTATGACGATCCAAAACCTGTGGGAATCAGGATTAGAGAAGATAAAAAGGGAAATTTCAGAGAAACGAAAATGGTTATACATATGAATTCTTTTTCAAAAGAAAAAACAAAATTACAGAAAAATCGCTTTCCGACAAGCTCACAAGTCAACCCCCCAGAAGCAGCCAAACGGACGACGATCTTCAAGACTTGGAAGACACCGACTAGTGCAATAACGAAGCGGCGGGACCAAAGTACCCTTTGCAATACCGGATATGATCGCTCCCTGGCGTCATCCAAGTCACCAAGGAGATGCGTGCTGTGGCCTGTCCGCCTCCTAAACGATACGGATCATGACAGGCTGAGAAATGTATCCCACGCTTGGCTTCAGTAAGGGAACCAGGATGATGGCGCGATGCAACGGAGCCTTCTTCTGTCACGGCTTAGGCGCGTCCCAAGCGGCAGGCGCAAGACTTTTCAATCGCGGAAGGAGCTGAACCGCGCAGACGTCCCTGATGTGCTGCCAATGGGCTGCCGCTGTTTGGTTCTTTTCAGTTGACGATGCTCTATGACTTAGCTTTGCTGGTGTGGGCTGGTTAGGTAAGTATGTATCGAGAGCTGGGGCATGCTGCTGCTGCCGGGGCGGGCGGGCTGACGAGCGGGTTCCAAACGGCGGAAACTCGGCGTTAGTGGACTGCGGGCGTCCTGTCGAGCTACCACTGTCGTCGTCGTCGTCGCGAGGATAGTGGGCCATCCACGTCTCGCGACTCGTAGGCGAGTTTTTGGCTGACTTCCACCCACTAACTACCTAGGTATACTACAGTACCTACAAGTAGGAAGAAATGGGTAACGGCTCCGCCTTGCCTTTTAGGTTTGTCAAAAGAAGCTGGTAAACCGTCGTCCGGCGATTGGTTCTCCTTATCGCGGGCTTTCACGGCCTTATACGCTAATGGCTGGGATATCGAGAGCCTATCTTGCCTTTCGACTCGACCCGGATAATCCGACTGTGTTCGATTCCAATCCGACTGTGTGGGGGCCGTCTGGCCAATGAGCCACTATGTTAGCGCCTGCCAAATTTGCTAGCGAGCAATATCGTATAACATTTCTATACCTCAGTAGTAACGATTAAAGCAATTGAGCACATCGCCGTCGCTATTATTATTTATTATTGTAATTAGTAAGTATAGTATTGAGGGGGAATTCTCGTCTAATATAGTAACTAACTGTACGCTATAGAAATATCTGAAGTTATTGATCTAACTGCCTCCTCCCCTATACTCGCGCCCGTACGCACCCCTAGTTTGATTCCCTCCTTTAAATGGATTAAGACCGAATTATATAACGATAATAAAGAGTTTTTCGATATTAATAAGCTTATTAAAGAGGAGAAGCTATTTTTAATTCCCGCTATCGTTCCCGCCGTTGCTTTGTCCTACTATTATCGCTCCCTATCGATTTTAAATTCGAACTCCTTATCCTCTTCGTCGTTAAGTAACAAATTAAATAAAGAATTAGGTACGTTAAATAAGGCGAAGTCGGTTAGTAAGGGGGAGCCCGCTTTCGATAAACTTTCTACTCGGTTTTGGACCAATATCGACGCCGCCATTAAAGAAATTAATATTATAATTATTAAGATCGGTTTCAATATTATTAAGATACGCACTAATAATTACCGTTATAATAGATTGGTATAGTATAATTTCGAGTATTTTGAAGGACTATTGTATTATAGTAAGAAATATAAAACCGTTGAAACTACCCTTTAATTATTAGCGGGTAATATAAAAAAAGATTATAAATAGAAGGTAAAGTTCGTATTGTCTATTAAATTTAATATATAATAATTTATATTTATAGTATTTACCTATATATATAATTTTAACTTAGATAGTATAATGTACTATATTACTAACTGTCGATTCTAACGTACTAGTAAGGTGGAAGAGAGTATTTTTGATATAGTAAAGTAATTAAAGACTTCTTTAATCGATATTATTTTATTTATTTATAAGGAATTTAGTATTATAATTATTAAGCGTAATATTTTTGATATACTAGTAGTTAATAAATAGAAATTAGCCGGTATTCTAATTCTTATTGAATAATTTTTGAATAATTTAATTAAGATTAAAGGTATTTATAAAATTATTTACTATTATAATAATAAGGAGGATAGTTTAATAGAGAGGATATTTTGGATTTATCTCTAGTGTATTAAGTAATTAAAGAAGAATTTAGAGGTTATAAGCTTGGATTATACGTATAAAGTTAATAAATTCGATATGTTTCTCCTTTAAATATATAGTGTAACGGTTATATATATGATTTTTAATATCGTTTATTACTTATTAAGCGGGGAGAAGAAAATTTACTTTATATAAGTATTTTAGTAAATTGAAGCTATATTTTTAAAGTATAGTATTCCCTCCCTTTTAATTATTATTATAAATTACAATAAGGTTTATAAGAAGGTTTGTCGGGTAGTCTTCCCTATTACCTAATATTAGATTTATCTCTAATACGTAATGAAGAATATTACATTTAATATTAAAAAGAAGTGGGAAGGTAGTTTTGAAGGTATAATATTAGGTAATTAAAATAGCGATAGGAATTATCTACGTAAGGATTATTCCTATATAAATATTAACTCTACCAACGAAGACTTTAATACCCGCTACATTACTACTATAATATTTAATAGGGATGACTGCGAATACTATTTAAAATTAAGTATTAAAAACCTTTATAATTAGCCTATCAATAATAGCAGTAAAATTCCTAATATTTTAAACCGTAATTAGCTCGTTAATATAAATAGGATTTTAGGAGTTTAAAAGGTGGTAGTCTATTTTAATATAGAGGAGGGATTCTACTAATAATTAAGGGTATTATTAAAGGAGTTCCTTAAATAAAAAGATACAATTATTATATCTATTTATTATTATTTATATAATTACTAATTAGTTTTTTTATAGCTATAACCGACTACTTTCTATATATTTACCTCCCGTTAAGGTACGAGTTTACCTATTTCGCTATTAAATTATACTGCAATTTTAATATACGTATAACCTCCTGCACAGAGGGTGCCTACGGCGTATTGAAAGTACTATTTAAGAATCATCGTATTAATTTCAATTAGCTATTAGGAACCATTACCGAAACCTTTAAGTATTTTAAAGAGAATTTTACTAATAAGTATATTCAATAAATTTTAAAGAGTATTGCGAAATATAACTATACTACATTAGGGAAGGTAAAGTTCGTTACTAGTTTTATATACTTCGAATTACTTTAACAATAAACTATATTCGCTAGTAATATTATTATTAAATAGTATAATTTAATTAAAGTATAAAGGTAATATTCTACTAACTTTAATTATTAATATAAATTACCCTACTAATATAATTTATTCAATATTATAAATACGGGCGGTACTATACCTTAAAATATAATTAATAAAAATTAGTAATTAAAATTAAAAAAAGTAAATAATCTTCTATTATTTAATATAATTACTATACTAATTAAATTTTTATAGCCTTTATCCGTAGGCTAGCTAGTATTACATAGGGAGAAAAACCCCCTCTTAATTATTATTAACCGTTAGAAGGTTTATAATAGTACCTAGCCTATACCCGCTATATCTCGCCTCGCCCCTTCCTCCTCCTCGAGTATTAGATATAATCTATCTTACAATACTCCTCTTAAAGTATTAATCTAGCTACCTCCTAGGAAGAAGAGGATAATTAAAATAATATTAGTAAATTAAAGGGAATAAAAGGTAAGGGCGGAAGTAGAGAGTGCGAAATAGGAGGCGGTATAACTCTATTTATAATTCTACGAATTAAGAAAATTATAGTAATATGAAGTATAGTTAGAGGTACGATTGCGGGAACTCCAGAGTTAATAATAGAATCAATAGTAGTACCGCCAGCCGCCGCTGTTACTAGTATATTAAAAGTATTAATACTAGTACTAACCGTATTAAGGGATGCCTCTTCCCTCCTAACTATATTTCAATTTATATTAATTACCGTTATTTAATTAATAGTAATTATAGTAATTATTATACTAATAATAGTAATAGTAATAATATTAATCTTACTAATCGAACTAGTACTACTAATACTAATAAATATAATTATACTAATATAAATATAAATTCTACAATTTTAAGACCTTCAATATAAATTACAATATTAGAGAACCTCGTATGTGTAATTCCTGATAACTTTTGGTGCAGATGTTGCACGCATGTCATTTTAGTAGGAAATTGGCGGGCGGTAATATAGTTGTATTATTGGCCAGACGGCCCCCATATAGTTGGATTGGAATCGAATACAGTCGGATTATCCGGGTCGCTTTCGACTTCCATCCTTTCTCCACTCATCACAGTCGCTACGCGCTTCCTCCTTCTCTACATACAACCGGTTGCCTGCAAGTTGCAACTCTATTTCACAATATCCGGCTATGTCGGCACGTCCGGTCCCAGGTCATCCCCTTGCTGCCACCTGCATTGGTAGTCCGTCACCGGGTGTCGCGACAGTTACGTACCGCCACGCCGGTTCCGGCTCATTGGCGCAGGAAGGGGTACTGCGTAGAAAGTATTTCGGCTTTCGCGGTTGGGTAAATCACCAGACAGTGAGGTGAGAAGGTCGGCAGTAGTGTACTTGCTGAGGGCAAGTGCCATCAAAGGTTACCGGATTTTTTTTATTTGTTCGACTACGGAAGGGCTCGGATGGCACTCGGCAGTACTACGGCGCTCTACACGACAATGTGTATGCGCACATCACGGCGACACCCCACATATGTATCCCGCCAACATCGACTGCCGCCACCGTCGAGGCTGTCGTGCCTTGTGATACGCAGCTACGTACCCAAGCAAGTCCGAGGTGGATTTCACAATGCCGTGACGGTGCCGCAGGTTGCAGATTGCAGACAGGGTTCGGTGGAGTTAAGGGGACCGAGAGGATCTACAACAATCCGGGGCTTCGGGATCTGGACGGCCACTTGTTCAGACCTCAAGGAAAGGGATCAGCATCCGGCCAACCTACATAGTACATCTCAAGGAGCCCAAGGCGGCTCCCCACGGGGCAATTGCTCGCCGGGGAATGTGAGTTCGACAGTCATCAATCGTTGTTCAGTACAGTAGGAATCCCTGTCAATGCAGCTCGTGTGATTCAGGCACCTTTGGAAGATGGCTCGTTCATTGCAAAAGATGGGGTTTTGCGTCAAAGCGTGCCTCATTACTTAATAAAACTGGGAATCCAGGCCGCGGAAATTTGGGGCATCTGATGGGGCTAGTTTGTGAGACTTTGCAAAATGGGGTGTTTGCGGTAACAAGGGTTCTCACGGTAGCGCTACATGTCGACGAGGATGGGGTCTCCGAGCCGACCCCGATGCCGTGCTCCGTCTCTGCCGCCCTGTAACTGAGTCCATTCAAGACATGCCGAGGCGAAAGACGAGAATTCCACGTTCGACAATTGTGTTGGTGTGCGTACACTACGGACCCCACTTTCCGCCGCACCCACGACATGACACCTATCCCATGTCAGAAGGTGGCTTCTATCGCTCTGCTAAAGATGAAGCCATCTGTACCTATCTTACGGCATATAACAACACTGTCATGATCGGCTGGAACAACTTATAGTGGAATAAATCAAAGTGTTTGTCTGTAATGACTAGAACACTCCTATGACATCAAGGTCAAGAAAGGCAAAGCAGATCAGCTCTACGGCACTGAAACGAACCCTATCCACAATTCAGGTACCCTGCATCGTAAACTGGCTCTCGGTCGCAGTAAGAGCCTCCCAGAATGAAAGAGGTCTGACTGTTCAGCTCATTCGACCATGTGTGCCAAGTTCGGCGCTTAGACGTGAGACCTACAGATCACTAGATTCGGAATTAATGGCCTTCTTTCAGATATTTTCTACATAGTGAGAACAAGCATTGCTTCGAGAAGCAATGGAACATGGTACATCCTCGGAACCGGCCCCTACACACGTGGACTGGGTTCGTTTCAGACACCAACAACGTGGTATTGAATATGTATTCTAGCTAGTCTAAAGAGCCGTACGCTGTGGTTTGTTATACGCGTCGACCGCTAGAGGCAAGTACTGAAGCTATCGTGACCAGCCATATTAGCAATGTCCATGGCTTTTCATTAACGTCAGTAACCTGTGATGGACAGACTGGTCCGTCAGCTGCTGAAGGGATTGTTTGAAAGATTTTAGACCTAGATCAGTATGTAGACAGCCAAATCCACGAGATCAAGGGATGTGATTTCAGTGGGTTTTGGGAGAATGGGTTCTGGTAAGAACAACGACCAGCAACGGCCACGATACCACTGGATGGAGACACAGACCGACAAACACTTACGCAAAGCTACCCAACTTGGAGAGCAACGTTGGCGTCAGTAGGTGAAAATGGGCAGGATGAACAACCGCATAGATTGAGCCCCCCAAAAAACTAGTCCGAACTATATCGTTATCGGGCCCCAGACTCGCTTACGGAGTCAACTACCCCCCTTGATCGTGTTGTCAATCTTCATACCACCAAAGTGTAAGCTATACATAGTAGGATGATGGCGGAACTTCTGGAAAGCGAGTCAGACCATAGCTGTCTCTTCGTCTGCTTAGGTGAATGGATGAAGCGGTGTGTGCGTCGGTGTGGCTGTGCCTACGCCTAAGCCGACGATCAACCACACCACAAGTGTTGAGAGATCCAAGCACTGCGAATCTCCCGAGATTTACGGTCTGGATGTGGTTCACTCAAGTCTCTGGGTGATCACCAATGATCAACAATAAGAAAGCGGTGACGCCTTACTAAGTAGCTAAGGTACGAACAGATATGGTCAAGTGAAGCGTATGGGTCAGGCGGATATAGTTTGTGAGTTGGAACCGGAACAGAACCATCTGTTTGCCTTTGGGTGAGTTCTGCATAGCGCTACCGTCTTTCTGATTGTCAAAGAATGAGAACTTCAAGTTTTTGACTCCCTAGGCGCCCCGGCATTGTCAGGACATGGTAGGTTTCCAGGCTTGACCGCCAGAGCAAAAAGGTGCTTGGTCGGGCTTTCCAGAAAGAAGGCCATATCAAGGCAATAGACGTTGCAGCATATGGGTAAAATATGCATTTCGGTAGGATCTAACCTCTAAGACACTTGATCACTCGTCTCTGTGCAAACCAATTAAGATGATTTATTGTTCTTAACGATTGCTTCACTCAAACACTATACGAATCTCAACCGAGCTGGATAGTTCATGGCTGTTAAGGGTACGGTTCGCTGGATTGTACATCAGCGACCCGGCTATCCAGATCGTCCTCGATTCAGATAGGACTTGTAGGCTTAGACTTTTATTTCAATTTGGTGCCGCAGAACAACACTCTCAAGACGAAAGCTCTATCCGTCTTTTGCTCTGACATCATCTCTAGCAAAAGAGTGGGCTGCTTTTCGTCTTCTTAGGGCGAATGGATATGAGTTTCCAAGTCTACCACAAATGGGTATAAACTTGTCGTTCGTTCTATCAGTAAGGAAGCCACAACCGTATCAAGACACAGAGACACTTGGAGGTCCAATGCTGTATGCATGTTGTAGCTCGTCAGTATGGAGCCATTGCTGTGCAGGTCTGATGATCCAAAACCCAAAACACTCGTTGCTAAGAGTACATCTGAATTCAAGTCCTCCCCCGCTGAACGAGGTCATCATGTGCACTCGAAAGGAAAGTAGCCGAAGTACAAGGATTGTGCACTTGGCAGTATGGACATTTCTGTTGAGCCGTATATGTAGGAAATCACCTCGCCGGAATGAAGTGTCCTGAGGCACTCTTTCCTTTCGAAAGGTACTTCGGAATAAGACTCTACGGCTGCATATGAAACCGGGAGGTTTCGAATTTGTGTCTCTACTAGCCACAAACACTGCTACATCCAATCGACGGAAGTCACAACCAAAATCCCCCCTTTGGAACAAACGTTGAGATTGGTGTATTATCTTCATCCTGAACGCGTACAACCTCCTGTCGGCCATAAAGTACCTGCCTTGCCCCAAGGGATTTAAAGCGAGCTTATGTATCACTGTATTTCAGCCGTACTCGTCCGGAACTAGATCAACGGTTAATCTCCGCCGTAGTTCTCTCATTCTTATACTGCCTACCTCTACAGCCAATACTACTTCCAGGAATGACTCAGATAAGCAAATGCCCCAAGCCATTCAAGTAGGGTATGTAAAGCGGAAACCGCCATGACTGGTAAGATCGAGATAAGACATCTTATCTCGATCTTACTATGGATGGAGGCAATGGGTTTTGTCAAAGGACATGAATCGAATGTGCGTCAGAAACCCTGCTACCGATCAGTCCCGTGTGTAACTGTAACGCTCGAGCCGGAATCTTTCTCGTGTGTGACGACAGACGATAGTCTTTTATGTCTCGGCCTTCCTCTTCATGAAACTGAGGCGCAGGTGAGAGCTAACCGTGAGAGCTTGGAGTTGCCCTTGCACTCCTTTCCCTTAAGCCATACCCACCATGGCCTTTCTGCAGACAATACCTTGGGCAGCATGACAGACATCCCCTCAATGCTGCCGCAAACTCGGGCATCGCAGAGCCCCTTACCCTGCCAGCTTGCCACAGTTAGCATGCGTAGCCCAGTCGCAGCACACCTCAAAGACAGTTTTAATTTACCAACGTTCAGCTTTGCGGCCAAACTCTCTGTCTTGGTGCAACCACAAATGCCACCTGCTTCTTTCCTCCGTTTCCCCTCCAGTTGGAGTGACGAACGGGTGTGGCAGCAAAAGAGATGATAAGCAAAGTGATTACCTATAAGGAAAATAAATCAAGATTTATAGTAGCAGGGCACTATCATTCTCCTTGGGAACGAAAATAAAGGATGTGTCGACATCCGAAGTCTCAGCCTTGCTCGAGAAAAACCGTGGCGTACAACCGAACCAAACGCGCGATCTCTTCGTAGGCCGGGAGTACGGTATACACTGAAGAAACCCTTAACAAGACCAGTCGAGCTACTGGTCCCAAGGGGATCCTGTCACATCGTCCTGGATTGACCGTTTATCGAGGGCGAGAGTTCGTCCTACGGTGTTCGTATTTCGTGAAGGAAGATACGGGGTGGACTGTGCAGTAAAGTGGTATGTGGTTGATGGTCTCATCCCTCCCGTGGCGGCGGAAACATCCAACGACAAGCAGGCGACAATGTCCTTTATCATTTTATCTTCACCCATATTCAGGGTGTCCTTCCTTCTCACACAGTCTCCTTCTACGCCACGACAAGGTTCACTGGCTACCTGGCCTGCTTATGCTCAATATGGATAAAGAACGATCTCTATCATGTGAGGAGGAAACAGATCTGGAGCTGATCTTGCTGAATCAAAGATAGAGCGATGGTGAGTGGCCAACTTACGGGGTAAGATGACTCCCTCGCCACATCCTGTGCTGCTCGTTGTGGTACCTACTCATGTATTTACGAAGCCTATCTTACATGAGCTCCTTCCTACAAGTCCAGGGGACAATGTCCCACATAAATGAAAATTCCAGACACATGCTTTCGCAAGTCAAGTCGATGACAAGACAGACTGTTCGTTCGCTTTGAGGAGAGTGGCCTGGGGGTGAGTATCTTCTTTGAGGTTGTGCCGGGCTTGGTGGCAACAGTCGCCTGAGGTCTGTGTGACGGCAGCTAAAGAACCAGTCGAGCTCTGTCGCGAAAAGCTGCCTACGATTATTGGCGAGATACCTAATTGGCGCGGAACCATGGGGAGAGAAACTAGGTGCGTGCAAGTCGACACGCTGATAGCATGGTCAGCACTCAACTGTAACAAGTAGCTTTGTTTTTGGCGAGTTAATGACAACCTACCTCTATGTATGAAAGCATATGGTACGGTCTTGGGTCGTAGGATCTTACAAGTCAACACGGAGGAAATGGGTCTCTTTCAGATCAAGAACTTGCACCGAGTCTCAACCCTTGCATAGCGGCGAGGTTCAAACCGAAAGACATACATACACAATAAGGGTTCCGCCACCAAGATAGACGTTTCGGATGATCCAAACGGGCCGTCGTGGCAACCTGTGATATTGCTCTTTCCCATTGCTCATCTGTCTACAACTACCGATTGTTATTTCTGACATTCTTTTGTTGATTTCTGATAGAATTTCTTCGGGCGACCGACAGCTGCGTCTCTTTTGAC